TAAAGCTGATAATGTGGGCAGTGCCCTTGGACCTGACTGGCATGGAGGCTTGGATCTGAAAGGTCCACAAGAGGTATGTTTCCATAAACTGATGAAACCCACCCACACACCAAATCTCTGGGTCCCTTGACTTTCTATGTCTACCATGCAGGAAGATCTTCAGAGCCGCTGGCCCAGTTGCCCAACCAAAATATTGAATATGAAATTTGTGTAAAGCAGATGTCCAACCTTCTTTCTAACTGCCGAGCTGGAGAGGTCCACATGCAGACTGCAGGGATAAACTGCAGTTCTGTCTTCTCCTGAACATCTGTTGACTCTCAGTGCTCTTAAGAAGGTTATTTGGTGGAGTCAGATACTTCATATTTTAACTGAATAAGCAGATAACTTGCTTTCATTTATCACTTGTGCCTGTATTTGCTTTGAAACTTAGGACTTTGGTGGGGAGAAGGAGAGCCGGCCATGGTATCTGACTGGTGTACAAATAACATGGACTCATTTCCCCAGCATTCCTGGGGCTCCTAAGATGGCAGTGTCAACATCTGGGTTTTAAGATCCCTTCAGTGAATGCTGCTGTCTGTTGCCTCCTTGGTGCGTCTGTCACACTAATTAGAATGTGTCGAGCTCTGTGACTTTCCAGGCTCTCTCTTCCACTTAGCATGTCACACTTGGCATTTCGAGTGCCGGGCAGATTCTGCTCACTCCTGGAGCAGAGTCTCTGAGAGGCTTCTTTGGGACGTCAGCATGCTATATTTATACTACAGTATCAGTGTCCCTACAGGCTCTGTCTGCATTGTGCTGACCAGGGTTTATTTATTTATTTATTTTCCCAGTTCTCACACAGTATTCACATCGAAACCAGATGTGAAGTAAAGAAAATCTACCTTCAAGAGGAGTTTAAGATTACAAAGAAAAAGCCCTTGGCTTTTCCAAAGCATCAGGATAAGTCAGTTACACTTGATAAAGGTAAAAGGAAAAATCCTTAAGTTAATCATGATAAAAATATTTTTGAGACAGGGTTTCTCTGTGTCATCCTGGCTGTCCTGGCACTCGCTCTGTAGACCAGGCTGGCCTCGAACTCACAGAGATCCACCTGCTTCTGCCCACCTAGTACTGGGATTAAGGGTATGCGCCACCATTGCCGGGGCCTATATTTTATTTTCAACTTCATGGTTTCATATAAAATTTGGTCAAAAAATAATCAGTAACTTTGGGCCCTCATTTCACTACTCTTGGGTAAATTTTCTAGGAATTCCATGTTATGAGGCTTTCTATTTTATTTGGGCCATTATAACCAAACCCAGTAAGTCAGTCAGTATTTCACAGATCAAAACAAAATGGAAGCTTTCATAAGTAACACGAGTATAAGTAACACAATTTCTAGATCAAGTTTAAAAATCTGTGTGTTTGGGACTAAGTGCAGAAGCCTGGTCTCATTGTACATCATTTGAGAACTACTTCTCCAGACACACAGTCCTGTGAATTATCAGTACTGCAATCAGGCAGCTTATGTTCTGGAATCTTCTAGTTGTTTGTTTTTGGCAAAAGAATGGTACATTTGGGACTGTGGACCGTGAGGAGAAACATCAAGAAGAGCAGGAATAAATGCTGAGTAATGACATTAAGTATTAATCAAATTGCTTCACAAGTAATTTAGAAAGTGATCATCAGTTTAAATTTACTTTTAATGTCTGTGCACATGTCCAAAGGACAGTGTTTAGTCCCCTTTAGAGTACTATGCTCTTGAAGCTGCCAAGCACAAAACAATGTCACTGTGCTCAGCTTGTCCCAGCCAGAGGGCCTTCTGAAATTGAGATGCATCTGTGTCTGTTACATTCACATGATACTGAGGATAACTGCTAGAGATGACACTTGAGAACTCAGTTCTTCTTTTTCTTTAAAGAAATGTGGCCTGTGTATGTGGAACTAACCAATGGGAAAATATATGGCTGTGATTTCCTTGTCAGCGCTACAGGAGTCACACCAAACGTTCAACCTTTTCTCCATGGAAACAATGTAAGGTGAATTCTGTCCACTTCCTAATCTCTATCATTTTAGTAAATTGTAACCTAAGATGGCAGCAACACTGCGTTTTATGTCTGACTTGATTGTCTAGTCCACTTGGCATCCTTAAGCAATTACCATCTAGCTTAAGTATCATCAGACATAATGTCCAATTTATTTATCTAAACGCTAGTGAGAGGCTGACCTGCATGGATTCTCAAGAGTAAATCTTACAGATTGTTACGTTAGCGTCTTAGCATTCAAAGTGTTAAAGAATGTTCTTCTGAGTAGGGTTGGGGTAAACATGACTGTAAAACTCTTTTTACAGTCTGTTGGGTAGGAATTGAATCCCTGGCCAAGGTGTCTACACTCGGCAGCTGCTTCTGTCTTTCTGATCAGAGTTTGGTTAACACACAGGCTTGACTTTCTCATTGGCATGAAGGTCACGTTCTGTTTTTGTCATCCTTATGTAATGAACAACTGTTCAGTTTGATCTAGGAGAGGATGGCGGCCTGAAAGTGGATGACCAGATGCGCACGTCACTTCCTGACATCTATGCTGCTGGAGACATCTGCACTGCATGCTGGCAGCCAAGCCCAGTCTGGCAGCAGGTGAGCCCGCACCTATGACCGTGTGTTGTCAGATTCCGTTTATTTTCATAAAGCAGTGGATTCCTGTTTTCAAGGCCAGCTTTTCTACTCTAGATTGGAAGCCCTCGCTGCTGATCTGTGGACGCGTAACTAGATTCCCACTGTAAAGTCACTTCGTATTTCAGTAGACTGGAATGTTTTTCATGTAGAAAGAATTCTGGGTGTTACCTTTCTCTTCTGCATAACCCCTCCAGGACAAACTACATCCTTAATTTATGTCATAATCTGATACACGGGAGCAACAGCTCAAAAGAGCAGATACCCTTATTCTGAGGGAGTTTCATAGTTCCACATTCTAATTTGTAAGAAAGACACTTAATTAGATTTTTATCACCCTCAATGCAGACATAAGGGAGTTGCAGGTTCAAACAACCCCTGTCAGGTATTTCCAGTCCACAGCCAACAGGCCTGTACCCAGGATGGCTCTGGATGTGGCCTGGCATAACACTGTAAACAGACTCAAGTATTAGCACGATGACATGCTTGTGACCGTTTCAAACTCAGCCTCTAAGTTCACCGAGGAAACCCTAGAGATGGCATCAGGTTCGGGTGTCAGAGGTTGGGTATGATGCAATAGTTTAGAATTAGCAAATACCATGTTGACTGGTCTTCAGTGGTGACCACTAAAGATGACACTCGCTGGAACAAACTCATCGGAAGTACACTGCAGGGAATTTGTAAGATTGTCACCATAGGGAAGATGCAGTATTGAAGTGGGTATGAAAGCTCTTGCTTACACAAGTGTGAAGAGCAGAGTTTGGGTTCCCAAAAACCCATGTAAAAGCTGGAGACTCCATAAGCCATTGTAACCCAGCACTCCTACTGAGAGAGCCAGGGGAGCAGCTAACCTGGCATACTCAATTGAAAACCAAACCACAAAACAGACCCACCTCAAACAGAGTGGAAAGCAAGGACAGACTCAAGGTGCCCACTGACATTCACACATGCTCGTGGCATGCATGCACTCATATTCATGCTCAATAAATATGCCCATAAACACCCACATACATGGATGATGCTTTTTATTCAGATAACTAGAAGTAATATAAAGTACCATTTCCCGATATTTCAGATGAGACTGTGGACCCAGGCACGACAGATGGGGTGGTATGCGGCCAAGTGCATGGCTGCAGCTAGTTTGGGACACCCTATCGACATGGATTTCAGCTTTGAACTCTTTGCTCACGTCACAAAATTTTTTAACTATAAGGTAAGATGATAAAGGGAAAAAAAATAACCTTTATGCTTGAAAGTATGGCAACTGACTGTGCCTCTTCTCAAATAATTATCTATGGTTTAAACTGTGTTATCAAAAATGATGTTTTGGGGGTCTGGAAAGATGGCTCAGCAGTTATTGCTAATCTTGAGGGGATTTGAGTTCAGTTCCCTGCTCCCACGTCAGACAGCTCACAGCCACCTGTAACTCTACTTCGAGTTACTGACACCCTCTGCTGGCCCCCATGGACACCTGCATACCCATGACGCAAGCACAGGCATTTATACACAGATACACACACACCAAGAAAGAACCAGGGGCTCTGACAGATGTTTCCTTTTTTTAGTTCTCTTGATTCTGACACAGGGTCTCCACTTTCCTAAACTAGACATAAGGGAAAACCTGCCTACAAGTCTGAGGAAGGGTCGGATTCAGTTGCGTATTCAATCTCTAAGTCACGGTTCCAGGGAAATGTGGTTCACTCTGTGTGTGTGTGTGTACACTTCTAATGTTCTTAAAGACTGAATAGTATACCCACATATATTTTCTACTTTTAATATTAAAATATTAATGATGCCAATTTAATGTGACTAGGCTATATGGCAGTGGGTCCCTCCCACTATGAAACTGTTTCGTTTTCGTTTTTTCTGTTTAAGCTAACATGACCCAGATAGATGAACTTACGTTATTTGTGGGGAATTGGAAGGAGCTACTCACAAGTGACCTTTTCATCCTCATGCAGGTTGTACTGCTGGGAAAATACAATGCACAAGGCCTAGGCTCAGATCATGAGTTAATGCTGAGGTGCACCAGAGGACAAGAGTATATCAAAGTCGTCATGCAGAATGGACGCATGATGGGAGCTGTCTTAATTGGTGAAACTGATTTAGAGGAAACATTTGAAAATTTAATTTTAAACCAGATGGACCTTTCATCATATGGAGAGGACCTCCTAGATCCAAATATCGATATAGAGGATTATTTTGACTGACAGAATATCTTCAGGAATACTAAGTTCAAAATAAGGAGGAAAGAAAGAATTGGGAAAAATAACAACTGCACCAAGTAAATGACCCCATAAGTCGAGAATGCAGAAGCCAGAGTCCTGGTTCAGAAGAAGTCAAGAAAACTCCTAGGATGAACTTAGTTTATTGATTAATTAACAGATGAACATTCCTAATTACAGAGTTGACAATAAACCTTGACTCACACAAAAACACTCGAGTACCAGATCCTTTCTTTGCCTGAACATCAAAGTTAAGGCCAGGGTTTCAGGAGGCTTGCTATCTTGATTTACTTAGACTGTGAAGAATCTTCTTGATAATACACTTGGTACTGATGACCTAACTGTTTATATCTAAATTATAACAGCAGCTTTTCTAATTCAAAATCATCTACATTACTTAGTTTAAAATGGCTCCATCTTGGGAAGGTGTGTACACTGTGTCAGCATAGTGTTGCTTTAAAGGAGAGTCACACAGAAAACAACAGCTAGTCATGGCAAGGCAAATGAGTTTATGACCGTCCACATGGACTTAATCTCAGATATATTACATTTAGGCAACTTTGCATAAAAGTAAAATACAATTCTCAAATTTTCAAATGGTCCTGAATACGCCCATCTTCAGATAAGCTCTGAAAATATAGCTTTATATGTGTAAGATACAAAATTGTTTCAAAAATTAAACAATTAACTATAAAAGTGATCCAGACACGAACATACGTAAACAGTTATTTTGTGCAAGATTAGGTAACACTCAGGCATCATCAAGTTTTCTTTTCTTGGCTCCTGTGTTCTTAGAACCAGATGGCTGAAGCCTTTTTGTAGACTTCTGGAAGTTTCCTGAGCTTTTCTCTTCCCCTTTTGCATCTGCGTGTTCCGAATGGCAAGCCTCAGATGATGCAGCCTGCAGCACAATGACAAAGGAACACCCTGTCAGTGAATGCTCAGCTCCTCAGCTTTCTCACGAGTCTCAGAATACCCCTTGGGTATCAGGCAGCTCTTTACAGGGTCTGGTCCCTGTCTACAAATTTCTGTTCAAATGTGGGCAACTGTCTTCCGTAAAATAGGGATATTGTCAGAAACACCCTGAAGAGGACATGCAGTTCCCAAAGGCTGCACAGCACAGACTTCACAGCGGCTTGCAACCTCTGGAGAACACAAGACTTCATTATTTTTTACATTTATTATTTATTTATTGTGCACATATATGCACACCATGGAGGTCAGAGGACAGCACACAGGAGTAGAGCATCTCCTCCATTAGATGACAGCTCACTGGAATCGGGTCCAGGGATCGGACAGCAGAAAGGACTTTTATCACTAAGCCATCTTGCTAACCCCAGCAGAGACTTCTTAACCAGGGGATCTCACCCAGTATTAGGAGGGAAGCATCTCACAGAATTAGACTTTAAATTAGAGCCCTCACATTCCAAGTGGTTGCAGCCCCCCACTCTATACTGGGCCAGTCTAAAGCCCCCCACTACTTATCTGTCCAAATTCAAAACCCAGGAAGAAAACTGACATCATTTGTGTATAACCAAACTTAGCCGAGAACTTCAGAAAAGCACCCCAGAGGCTTGGCAAATATTGAGAATTAACATCCAGTTACCCTGCTGCCGCTCTGTGTGGACCTCGTCACCTGCAAAGTGACAGCATGGGCTTCGTTGCTCAGAAGACTAGCTCTGGATCCAACCTTCAGATACGAGATGGTAGCGTAAGCTGTGAAGCTGTAGTCTTCTCTATAAAAGAAAGGAATCAAGCAGAAAGCTTGCAGGAGTCACAGAAAACACATTTAGAAGAGTATAATTTCAAAAAACACTAGAACAACACAAATAGAATCCTTAAGGGAAATAGGTTGGGTTTTGGTTTTTCTTTTTTCCCTTGGGTGTGGTGGTGGTGTTTTGTTTATTTTTGTTTTTTAACTTTTCTGATTTCATGATCAAGGTCTAAGACTATTATGTAACCTGTTTTCTATAGTGCTTAACAGTTCACATCAAAAAATGCAAAGCTTTTGACTCTGCCCAGTTTCAGAGGAAGACACAGAAGACAAGTGGGCTGTGTACTTGAGATACTGCTGCAGGAGAGCATGTGCAATGATTTTCTCCAGGTCTTCTCGGGGAAGGACCGGGGCGACGACACCAGCCACTCTCAACTTGGGGGCTCCCTTCCCCATCCAAGCATCCATCAGCTTCAGTGGAGTGAGCTTTTCATTCAGTTCCTCTGCCTGCTTCAGAATCTTGACCAGGTCTCTGCAGTGCTGGGTTATATTCTTCTTCTCCAACACTGCAAGGACAGAGAATGATGGGCAACTGGGATCTAGAGGTGAGGGTGAGAAGCCAACTCTGGTTAAAATAGCTTAATTAGTACTGTGGCCCTTTACACATACTTCTTTTAATGTGCTCAGAATTAAGAGCAGGGTGCTCCTCAGGCTCTATCACCAGACTAAATTCTACTCCTAAAACACATGGAAGGGATTACAGTGATATAAAGACAATGACCTGTCAAAGGCTGTGTGCCCCAGGAACAAGTGTCTGCCAGACATCACTGTGAGGTGTGCAGTGCAGGAGAAAACCTGCTCTTCACACTTTCTTATTTGATGCTGCTAATCACAGCGTACTCTGAAACCCAGTCTGGGCTCCAAGGGAATGTTCTGATAGAAGTCCCCAAATACGAGACTAGCACCCTTACTTACATGTAGGATTCATGAGTTTGTTCTCTATAAAAAACAGCCTTGTGAACTAGCTATCAAATTAGTGTCTGTAGCTGTCAAGTTAAAAGCACAGAGAACTCTACCCACTGAAGCATCAGAAACCAAGGGCCTCCCAATAAGAACTACTCAGTCCAGCTCTTCAAGAACACAGCACAGACCAGAAGTTAAAACTGCATTGAGACAGGGGTTCGTATGTTGTATCAAGAACAGAGACAATGAAGTATAGAGACTGTCATGATGTTAGCCTTTTCTATTCAGGGGAATTCTAATTTTTCCCTATTTCTTAAAACTTTGATGTCCTCAGTATAGCAATATAAAATGGTATGCATACACATTTGACTTACCTTTGTTTCAAAAATTTATATCACAAAAAAAGTAAAAATTAAATAAAAGACAAAAAAAATAAAAAAGAAATGACTGAAGAGCTTGCCTGGGATACAGTATGAAAGCCAACAACTTGGTGTTTTCTGAAGGTAGATGTATCTTTCTAAAAGCAGACACAATCTTTTGTTTTAGAAAAAATTTCAAAAATAAAACATATTTCATGATCAAAAAAATTTTATAGCACTTTTGAATGTGAAAAATTCTAATCCCAGTTTGCCTTTGAATTCTATTTGGTTTTAATTGTACTTAATTCACTTCCCACATGCAGCCCCGATGCCCTGAGCTGCTAAGAGTCTAAAACAAGCTTACAAAGGTCTTTACAGCAGTTGTCACACATTTTGTTACAGGCGTCTGCATTCCACACTTCATCAAAATGTTGTGCGATCAACACACGACGACACCTGCAAACGAGACAGAGAGAGAGAGAGAGAGAGAGAGAGAGAGAGAGAGAGGTCATTCGCCTAGTCAAGCTTTTAGCATCTGCTTCAGAGGAACACATACCCTGCTGGCTTTCTACTGCTGTCATGGTAGCCCACAGATGTGGTGACCAGGCCAATGCCAAGTGTTATCTTACCTCTGTGTAAGAAATCTGACAGGGTCAAAGTCAAGGTAGTGGCAGGCTGGATGTCTCTGGAAGCCCTAATCTCTGTGCTTTATTTAACACGGTCTAGAGTTTGCCCACACTCCTCAGTCCCTGGCACCCTCTGCCTTCAGAGCCATCAACTGTGGGCTGAGGCTACTCTCATCACAACAAGCTGACTTCTTTACGCCCGCTGCCATATAAGGAACCCTGTGACTATAATGAACCCACCCAGGGAGTCTCAGGTGATTCCTATTTTACCAGCAGTGTGTTGACAATCATCACTTCAGAAGTTATCTGTCTCACTTTGAGGAGAACGTTCTTGATGCTGTAGTTTCTTCTATTTTAGACTAACCTGAAAGTTGTCTTCCGAGGAGTCTCCTGGACTCCCTGAAAAGAAATTTCTACTATCTCCTTTCTTTTGACTACTGTGGCATTAGTTGGAAAGCAAATGAAGTTTTTATCACTGGCAGGTCACTGTTTACTTGGACACTTTTGAGCTCTTTTGTGACAGGATGGTTTCGGGCCCTGGGGCCCCAGGGCCCCAAGGGAGCTGAGTGTTATAAGCAGAGATTGATTGTATTTCTTAATGAGAAACTTGACCCCGCCCTGGATCACCCAGAGACTCAGCACCAGGGTGGACATGCCTGAACTTACCTCCCCAGTGCCTATCTTCCCACACACCTTTCCAGTCACTGTAAGCAGCTACACACCAGAGCCAAAGGAAAGAGGCTTCAGTCATAACCTTCAACAGACTGGCCTCAAGGAATACCTCAAAGACAGACAGAGCCTCTCTTCTTAGAGGAAGGCAGTCAGGGGTCCAGGTCTCTCCACCACAGGCATTTACCTTTACAGTGTTCTGTACTAATAGCAGTGTATTCAGTAGGCACCCAACCACCACACAACACACACATGACATGCTATCTACACGAAGGCAGGTTGCTCACTTGCTTATATTCTGGCAGTACGACACCATCTCATACAACTTCTGCTGCCCTACGTTCTCCATGACCACCATCGAGCTGATCCTGAATATGTCTCCAAAGCCGTAGTACAGAATGCAGTCTGCTCTCGAGTCATCGCGACCTGTGCTTTGGGGAATCTTGAGTTTGCATCACTGCTTTCAAAAATCCATAACATGCAAAAGTATATGTCAGTTGGCTGACAGCTTCACAATACAGCTAGAAGTTTTTAGCTATGAAGTTAATCTGTAAGAGCTACCCTGAGGGTTTTAAATGACTACAAAGAGGCTCATCAAAAATCAGCCTATTAATATAGAAAAAAGAATGTTCATGAATAGTTCAATTATTTAGGTTGTATATGTGAACCTACTAATTAAAATTCCAAGTGGTAGACATGAACATTATAATAGCTTACAACACATAAGAAACAGTTTTAACACCTCAACAGAATGTGTGTAAATAACTATAGATCTGGTTTTTAAAAAGACGTGTTCTAAAAATTACTATATATAAGCAAGCATTGAAAGCACACAATTCTCAGCATGTGCTCTGCAAAGCCTCCCGAGATTACTTTTGGATTACAGCCCTACATACCTGCACGCCCACTCTCTTGATAGTAATTCTCCATGGATTTGCTCATTGAATGATGGATGACAAACCTCACATCTGGCTTATCAATTCCCATGCCAAATGCAACTGTAGCTACAACCACCTAAAATGTGTTAATACTTGATTAGTTAATGAAGTCACTTAAATCTTTTTACAGCTAAGTTAGGCTTTCATAGAAAACACATATACTTAACCTGAAGTTCATTGGCTGACCACTGTGTATGAACCCTGGTCTTATCTTCTGGTTCCATATTGGCATGGTAAGTGCCTGCACGAATTCCCAGTTTTTGTAAACTAATGGTAACTTGTTCAGAGTCTTTCTGAGAAAAACAGTAAATGATTCCTGCAGTAAAATATGACCAAGTTATTAGGGATGTATGCAAAGCACCATGCTCAAGACACTGAACTGTTACAAGGCAGAAGGGAAAATGAGTTATGAAAGCCCACGCCCCTGAGCAGATACTGATTGTTGGGTATATCCCAAGGTTTGATGTCCAGCTTACCCTAAGCAGAACCTAAGCCCTGGGGTTCTCATGCCCAAAGAGCTCTGCAACTTTATCCCCACTACCCAGTATTCCTTAAACTGATGTAATCTCTGTGAGCTGTTCTGAAGAGTGAGTCTGAAGAATCTTCGAAGATTCAGTCCAACTGGCCTTTCCATGGGGGATGGGGGGGTAAGAGACAGTGATAGCCCCTACTGTGTAGGCGCAAACTCCAGGAGAGACGAACAGCTGCAGCCTCTCCCAGATTTGACTCAGGAGCTCCTTTTCCCAAGTACCATTACTCTCTCCTAACCACCTGGAGGACAGTGCTAGGCACTGGTGTAAGTCCTTAGCTTGGGAACTCAAGAACAGATGTCCCCAATGTCACCCTGCTTAATCTGGTAAGTATGCCCAGGACCCTTCCTGTAAGAATCTGTTGTCTTGTGTCTCTTCAGAACGTCACTGCTCACACAGGAAGGTACACAACAGACACCAGCTAATGTGTCAACCATACTGTCACTGGGCCTACGCCCCTGTAGGCAAAGCAGGCAGCTTTGACTCCAACTGTGACGAGGATGCCACACACAGCCCCTAAGACCAGACAAACAGATTTGATCTCATTTTCAGTTAAGTCAGGTGTCACTGGAGGGATTGATGCCGTTTTATAAATGGATTCTCAGCCCCCAAGCTGACTTTTTTTTAATATTACCTGATCGCCCTTTGTATCGTCCATTAATGAGCTTTACAATGTCCTCAATAAAGTCTTCAGCATTTGGGGGCTTTTGCCGAACCTACAAAAAGCAGTCTTGTTAAAAAGTAGATTCACCGGTGCCATCTAGGTTGTACCTGCTACAACCTCTGAGGTGCGAGTCCTCATGGGAAGTATCCCTCCCTGTCACTCTTGCTGACCTCATAGCATTCACCCATCTGACTCATTCCTGCCTCTGCCCAGCCTCTCCTTGATTTTCAGTCCCTAATCTGCCACAGTGAGGAGGCATAGAACAGCAGGTAACTTGTGAAGATGGGTGCTTTTCTATTGTCTGGTGCTTTAATAAAAACATAAAGCACAGTATGAAAGCAATGAAAATGCAAAGATTAAATCTGTCCTTAACACAGCTTGAATGAAATCAGGAAGCCACTGGGATGTTTTACCTCCAAGCATATGTATCAGATAAAATCCACATGGGAAATACTGGTGAACTCATTAATGTGTATACATGTTTCGATTACTTAGTTACACAGAAGTCAGTAGGCCTCTTGATTTTACCCCTCCTTGCTCTCAATCCTTGTGCAAGAAATAATCTAACAAATATCCCACACTTGCTCAAATTGTGTATAAAAGACAGTATCACTTAACACATCTAATGCGGATTCTGGTGCACAATAAAGCACTAATGAATGTCATAGTAATTACTTCATGACATTAAAAATGCTTACACTGTCATTATAAATAAGCACAATGAAGAAACACAACCTCTGTATACCTCATAATAAAGATTTGGTCGGTTGAAAGATGCTGTAAAAGTCAAACACTTTTCCACACACAGGATTTTCTGTGCATCCTTCAAAACATGGTTAGTTGCTGTTGCAGTCAGCCCAATCAGCGAGGTGTTGGGAAACTGGCGCTTCAAGATGCCGAGTGCCTTATAATCTGAAAAAGATGGCAAGGTCTGTCTCTCTGTGATCCCTCAGAGAATGAGAGTAAATCAGATGCTCAACACCACACGGATGAGCAATGGCTCCCAGTTTTACTTGCAGAGTTAACTATAACTACATCTGAAGGGCCTGCCGCTCCTAAATTCAGAGGCTTTACTGCACTTTTCTTCAGAAATAATGTTCTTGGCAGAGGTCTGTTAACAGCAGGTGTTGTGGAGATAGTTCCTCTAGACTGAAACATTTGTGGGTGGAAGGCCACTCAGGCTCAAGAAACTCTAGTGACTGGAAAGGCGTTTCCATGAGGTTGTGTAAGTAAACAATTACTGGGACAAGGGAGGCTCTCCAGTAGTGCACTGCCAGTCATCCTACCCAGGACTCCCTCCTGAGTCGTCACCCAAGCTGGGGGAGCTTTTCAGTGACAGGCCTCCAAATCAGCCGTGTTTCTGTATATAAACTAAACTCCATTGCTTCACCAAGCTGGAGTTGGGTGGAACTGTTTCTTTGATGTGTCATGGCCTTCTCTATCTGGGTTGAACAGCAGTGATAGTCCCAGAAAAGGTCATGCAGTAAGGGGCACGAGGCATGCTGTGCTGTCAAGCAGTGCACTGTGGTATACTTGTTAAACAATAGGCTCAAGAGACAGTGGGAAAATCAGAACTCTTGATCTATTGCAACCAGCAAGCTAGATGAAGCCACCAGTCGTCCGTGTGATCATCACAGGTCTACCACCCAGTACCACCCAAGAGTAGCAGTTCATAGCAGAAGACAAGGTAAGGCCACTGCTTTTGGAAGAACCTGTTGCTGAGACGCCATTCAGGCTGATACCTGTCATACACTCAATCAGGACAAGAGTGGTCCTTATTCCCCTTCAGTACTTAAAATGTTCAGAAGAAACTGAAAAAGAAATGTGGTAGGAAGTGGGCGCGGGAGATGACTGCCTAGGGAGTTGTAGACTTCAGAGAGAGCGTTTGTGTCAGGTCTGGAACAATACACAGGGTCGAGCAGGAGGACAGACATAGTGCTAATTACTGTGGGAATTACCCAGCAAGCAATTCAGGGGTCAGATCACAGGGTATAATCTGGATGAACCTACTTTCCAATGCATTCAGGGAATTCTACCTCCCAGAATTCCTACCAAGAGCAACTTGTCTTTGAGCATCTTCCAGGCAAGTTCTAGTCAAGCTAGTCCAATTCTTCCTTGGACTCCTCTTCCAACTGCAAGTTTCAACAAGAACAGTGGTAGACCGTACAGCAGGCTCCACAGATGCTACTCAGAGGACAAGGCCTCAGGGGAGGGGGGCTCTCCATCAACTTCCCCACTGAGACCCCTTGGACACTATATGTGGCCCTCCCAGCTCTGGTTGGACCTCCTTCACCATGGACCATAAGATCACTATCATGGAAGAAATTTAAAGAAAGGTAAAGGCAGAATAGAACTCTAGAGAACACTGATATCTAAGGAAAAAAGTGAAAGAGACAAAAAAAAAAAAAGGAAAGTAAGAAATCCAATAGTGTTTGATAGTGTTTGTTACATGAGAGTAGGCAAGGGAGAAGAAAGTGGTGGGATGGGAAGTGGCCACTGTGACCACTCTGAGGGAGTAAAACCAAACACTGACAGGTGCAATTACTGGGAGGACTGCAAACAGCTAACAGGGTAACTGACCGACAGAGAGCTGAGCTGTGGTGGAAATGGTGCAGAAACGTGGACATCAGGATGGGAAAGCAGGCCTCACCTGACACAGGCTGGCAGAATGGCCACAGTCCAGGGCAAGTGCAGAGAGGCAGGGGCTATGGCACAGAGACTGCATGGGGAAAACATAGGACCCATGGACAGACAAGCAGGCTGACCCAGGAGGTCCTTGAGAGTGAAAAACCCCCAAAGGAAACGTGGCCAAAGCAAGGAATAAGAATTCTTAATTTAAAAAGTTGTGGCCAAAGAAGACTGCACAAGCCTTTACTTCAAGCACATGGGGGGGGAGGGACACACACACACAGAAACAGTCATATCTCTGTGATCTCAAGGCCAACCTAGTCTACATAAGGGAGTTCCCAGACTACACAGAGACCCTGCCTCAAAAAGAACAAAACAAAACAAAACAAAACAAAACAAAACAAAATAATAAATTGTGCATGTATGTATGATGTATGTGTGAACACATCCATGTAGAGGTCACTGACCACCTTAGGTGTTGGTTCTTCACCTTCTACCACTGAGGCAATGTCTTTTTTGTTGTTGCTACTGTGCTGCATATGCCTGGCAAGCTGGCCCACAAGCTCCCAGGGATTCTCCTGTCTCCCCCTCCCATCTGGACGAAGGAGTTCTAAGCTACTTGAGTCAGCTTTCCTGCGTCCTGGGGATTCACATTCAGGTTCAGACACCTGGAAAGGGAACACGACCACTGAACTATCTATCTCCTTAGCCGAGATCTTTTCAAATGAAGTAATGATGAGTAACTTTCTCTAGGATGACTATGGGATTAAGTTGTCAGCTCAAGTATTACTAAATACTGCATCTCATCAAACTCCAACTGCTCCAAGTTGGGTGAGACACTGAAAAACCCAGAAAGACGAGAATAGCTTTAAAGTCTTGCAAATTCCAAAATAAATAAGAAACAGTCAAGAAACATGTACTACGGGCCAGAAGACAGGCATCTCACAGGCCAGCACAAGGACATGAGATGCTGCAACCCACCACACAAGTGAACAGTCTCAACAGAGGCAGGCACTTCTGCCACGCTGAGCTGAGCGAGAACCCCGTCAGTCCCCATCGTGAACAAGCGTGCGTACCAGGCCTGAAATCATGTCCCCACTGACTGCAGCAATGCACTTCATCCACGGCTATCCGAGTCAGTCTTCCAGCTTCATACGCTTTCTCTAGTCTGGACATGAACATCTTGCTTTTTGCAATTTTCTCTGGAGTCACATAAACCAGCTTTAATTGGGAGTTTTTATTCACCATTTCAGCATGAACCCATTTCACATGCTCCTGGTAAAGACAAAACAATCATTGTAGAGTCAAGCAGGTGGGCCATGATACTACATGAAAAATGGGTATTTGTTACTGAAAAGCAACAATCTAGGGCTCTTCCTGGAGCAGATGCTGGCTCATTAAAACTGAAGCCACATCCCTCTGGAAGCTTCATGGCAGCTGTGCCAACAGTAGTCTAGTGACTCACTTACTCCAGATGGCTGAAGTTAAAATCAGTCACTTGGCAAAAAAAAGAGGGGAAACACGAATGTGATAAAATTCTGCAATAAAGAATGTGCATAATTTTAAATTGTTAACAGAACCCAAAATGTGAACCAAATACAGTAGCTGTGTCCATAATGGTCGGTTTTACAAGTTCATTCATTACATTTATAATTATACACCTATGAATAAAAATATTTTTTAATTATAGCTATTTTAATGAGGTTATCAAATATCTATTTAAATAGATAGACTCTTGGGTACACTCACCATTCCACATTCTATCATATTAATACTTTAGACAGAATGCTGTCAGGGTTGCACTGAGCTTTCTTTTTTCACTTCTTTAGAGGTACGTACAGGGACCGGCAAGATGGCTCAGCAGGCAAAGGAGTCTGCTGCTAAACCTAAGAACTGAGTTTGGTCCTCAGGAAACACATGGTGGAAGGAGACAGTGACTCCTGCAAGCTGTCTTCTGACCCCCACATGTGTACACTGTGGCATGTTCACACCCTACTCTACTGACACACAAATAAGTGAAACAAGACAAAATAGTAAGAGTTATACACTGAAAAATTTCCAATCAAAACACGAGGCCTTGGATTTATTCTATTAAGGGTATAGATGAAGAATGGCAACTATACAGCAACTTCTTTTTCTTTTCTTTTTTCTTTTACTACTGACACTCATTTGTGTATTTTTAAAGAGTTGGAGAGTAAAATTTACAAAGAACATCTTGGAAGTGGTCTGTCCTTGCAGATAAGGATAAGATGGTCCATTTCCTCACACATGTTCTTAATAACTCGTTTTCTATATTAAACTATATTAAAGGTTCTTCTTTGCTATTTATGAGTGTGTTGTATGCATGTGGAGATGCTCACATGTAGCCAACATCAGAAGTCAGAGTAAAGTTTCCTCTTCTCCACTTTATTTCTTGAGACAGTCTCTCGCTGAACCTGGGGCTCATCAATTAGGCTGGGCTGGCTGGCCAGCAAGCTCCAGGACCCTCCTGTCTCCACCTCCCCAGTTAGGCTAGGCTGGCTGGCCAGCAAGCTCCAGGGCCCTCCTGTCTCCACCTCCCCAGTCCTAGGACTACAAGTCCTGAATTACTCAGCCTGCTCTCATGCTGCAAGCACTGTCCCCACTGAACCGTCTCCCCAGAGCCTCCTTGCTCTTTCATAGTACATAACACAAACGTGTTAGCGAACGCTTCCTCGGGAGTGCTAGACATGAGGAAGGCTGCCATGTGGAATGCGTGTTCACCACCACCACCACCCAACTCTGAGTTGCTGCAGGAGGGAAGCAGTGCCTAAGAAAATGGGCTTGCCGATTCCAACAAGTTTACTTATGGACACGGGACTCAAAATCTCTGTGACTCCACATGTCATAGAACCTGCTGGTTTTCACTGTTGTTTCATTGTTTTTCTTTTCCTCATCTTTATAAGTATAAAGGGTATTTTTTAATGAATGGGGTACACACACACACAAAAACAAAACAAAACAAAAAAACAGACAGTGTCCAGAACTAGCCTGTGAGCAGAAGATTGTGACTCCTGATTGAGGGTTTGTAACTTAGAGGCAACTCGGACACAGCTGAGACCCAAATCAACTAAGAGTTTATAACTGAAAACCCAAATCATACTCACAGACCTTAGAGCTAGAAGCATTCAACATAGTCGCTGAAATTCCCAACTGTTTTAAAACCATCAATTGATCTTCCATAAGAGAGATGAGTGGGCAAATCACAAGTGTAAAACCTAAAAGAGAAGAAAAACAAAACCCACTTTCAACCTTACACTCGAGCCATGATGGGCTGCCCTACTCACTCTGTGCACCCTGTGGGACTATCTACTCACTATTCATGGTGTTTTTGATGCAGATTTGTCAGCATAACTATTTCTTAGCTGCATAAATAAAGGAGATGGGCAAAATAAAAGACCAGACAGACCAGACAAGATGAATGTAAGCCAAATAAAATACAACATAACCCTGGGCTGGAGTGATGGCTCAGGAGGTAAGAGCTGAGTCTCACACGCACCGGGATTCAGTTCCCAGCACGTGGTGGTTCACAACCAGCTGTAACTCTAACTGCATGAGATCCAATGCCTCTTCTGAGCTCAGAGGACTCCGCATGCATGTGGACACAGACATTCTTTCTCTCTCTCTCTGTCTCTGTCTCTGTCTCTGTCTCTCTCTCTCTCTCTCTCATTCTCTCTCGCACACACACATACACACACACACACAAATGAAAACTAAAATATTTTTTTAAGATAACAGAAATCTCTACCTTTCTTCAATCCCATAGAAACACAGATTTCACTATTTTGAATTTGTTACCCTCTTTAACAACCAATACAGAAAATCTCAATGAAGTAACACACCAGGCCTAGTACTAAAGTGCTTTAGCAGAGAAACATTACCCCAAAGCTGCCCAGAGGACCACAGGTGTGCTGCTCCGAGGCAGGCACATGTGGGTTTCACTCTGCACATCAGTCGGCCTAAGTGCAAACCAGTGAGCAGCACGGTGACTGAACAAACTCTGCAAGTCACTTTACGCTGTTAAAATGACACAACTTTTACATTTCTGCTGTTTGTTCCTCACAAGAATGTGGCAGAGGAGAGACAGGTTTAAATGCATCTACTCACATTAGGACCTGACCAGGGCTTCTGCCCTGTCAGCTACTCTTCCTCTCTCCCACACCGTCACCTTCTTCCTTCTCAGGCACACGCACTCACTACACTAAAGCATAATCATGCATCCCTCATCTTTCAGAGATCCTTAATACCTGCAGTGGTCCCCCTGAAAGCCTTGTTGGAACCAAAGACACACTGTGTGTGGTGGTGTTGAAAAGCACAGCCTTTGGGGAAGGGAGGAAGTCAGGAAGGCTGTGGCCTGGGATCAGTGCCCCCATAAGCAAGGAGGAAGGGACTGGCCCTGTGACATGAGGGTGCGGCAACACAGGACCTTTCTAAGGGACAGGTCCATTCCAGACATCAAACCTGCTGTCCCCTTGATCTTGGCTTCTGTGGCCTTCAGAACTGTTAGCAATAAACTTTAACTGTTTAGAAATTCTGCAGTCTAAGATACCTCTCTCTTCTTTCCGAGTAGCTGTTCTTTTCAGAAAACCCCCCCCTCAGAAGCCTGGCTTCCCAGTCACTCAGCCTCACTCGGACTTGCTGGCTGGGCCCCACCCAGCCTCTGCCTCAATTCCCAGCCAAGTTCAAAGACGTTAACCTTGATCCTTTAGGTCCTGCTTCTATGTGACCTTCCACAGGCAGACATCACAGGTAACCTCCTCCTCCGCCTTCCCTGTGCCTAGACTAATCCCACCTTCTTCTCCTGATCACCCCCCCCCCCCCCCCCCCCCCCCCCCCCCCCCCAGCTCATCTGGCCCAGAGCTATCTCACCCCACGCCCCCTTCCGCTCCAGCCCGCCTGCACGCCTTTAAGCACTGTGGAGTCCGTAGGCCCTACAACAACCTCAGCATTTCTCTCCCCAGCCTCAAACAAGTCCTTTCTCCACTGGGAGCCGTTTTAGTGGATAACTGGTACTGACAGACAACTGAAACAAAGACAGTCTACTGAACGTTGTTTTCAGTCACTTCCATGGCAGCCCTTCCATTGTACACACCATCTGAGCACAGTGCCGGCAGCTGGTAGCACAGGCTCTTCCCACCTCCTGTGGGCATGACCAGAAAGATGTCCTTTCTAGCCATGGTGACATTGACAGTTTCCAGCTGCAGGGGTCTGAACTTCTGCAGTTTCAAAACGTTTTGCAGTACATCTTTAACCTTTCCAGACCACGGGAAATCTAGAAAGAGAAAAACAGGCTAAACAGACTAGAATGATCTAGGCTGTAAATGAGAAACGAATATAAATGTTCACTTTTTTCATAAAGCAACCAAAATATATACAAATCACACAAACACACATGAAATGTTTAACATCTATAAACCACCAAATGTTTAAAATTTTTTGATTAATATAACTAAGTAGTCAAAACTTATTATAAGTAAGCATATTGACTATTATATGGTTATTACATCAGAAACCAATGAATCACTGGCCAGTAACTGAAACTGGCCCATGTGAAGGAGGTTCAGTCAGGCAGGCACAGTCAGGCAGGCACGAGAAAAACAACCCTAATGGTGCCCAGGGAGTCACAGTGCCCGAGACTCAAGCCTGAACGAACTAAGCAAAACTCAAATTTGGATATAAATATTTTGCATTTAGAGACCAGTACCAGGAAACAATGTACACACACACACACACACACACACACACACACACACAATTGTAATTCCTAGAAATATCCCACTAAAGTGAGTAATAAATATGTTTTGTACAACAGTTTTAATTGTTTACATTAGATGCATGGTGTTTGCCTGCATATATGTCTGTGTACCATGAGTGCTTGATGCCTAGACACATCTAGACACCCTGAGACTGGAGATACAGATGTTTGTGAGCCACCGTGTAGGCACTGGGAACCAAACCCAGCAATCAGTGCTCTTAACCACTGAGCCATCTCTCTAGTCCTTCAGTCATGATTTCAAATTAAGGGTGGTTTATTCTGGGCTGGGTGTAGTGGTGCATGCATTTAATCCCAGCACTGCAGTCAGATCTCTGTAGACCAGGGCCAGCCTGGTCCACAGAGTGAGTTCAGGACAGCTACGGCTATGTAGAGACTCTGTCTCAAAAAAGGGGGGATGGGGGTTGTTCACTATGGCAAGGTTTTGGCTAACTCTTTCTCTTTGTTTTAGTTAATACTTAAAAACTTAGCTGATATTCTATTCACTTTTTAGACACTGATTGCTACTAAAACTGTATGCAGGGAAAACCCTGATTTTCAAGTCTACATATAAAAAATTCAAGGACCTGGATAAAGAATGTTCTGCCTGAAAGTTCCCCATTGCCCCTTCACACACACACACACACACACACACACACACACACACACACACACACACACACACACACACACACACACACGAGCCAGCTCTATCTCCTGGTATAGACTGACCCACATGGAGTGACGCGACTCTACATTACAGCAATCAGAAGGCACGAGGCTGGCAAACCTTCTTTATTCCACTCAGCTGGTGAGGAGTCACAGTCACTGCTCGCCTCGGCGTCCGAGCCCTCTAAGCACTGCTTGATTTTCTTTGTCAGGACTGCCTTTTTCTGGACGAGCTCTTGCTGCCTCTCTGTGAGTTCTTGAATCTGGATGTCAATTGCATGGAGCTCATTGGTTACGGATTCCAACTCCTCCGTTAGAGCTGTGGGAGGCATGGGGAGGAGGTGGACGGACAAGATAGAATGGACAGTATGAGATTCTGGAAACTCCTCACTGTCTAAGTTACAAGCCTAAAAGTGAAGAGCAGAGGGCTAAGAACGTGTTCTAAAGTCACAGAGATCTGGGGTTAGTCCCCCCTGCTAAATGACCTGAGAAACCCTTGCCAACATCTCAATCACCCCTTCTGTTGAATGCCCAACATGTCCGATTATTAAGAACAAAGAACTGCTAGGAAGAGTTAAAGAGGAACAGCGCACAGGAAGTTCTCTACAGGGACCTGGTCAGAAACTAAACGTGTAACAAATGACAGTTGCCATTCTTACTATGTCACTCAGAACTGGTTTAACAGTCTCTTCAACCTCTCCCAGCCAGCCACCTGGTGACTGAGCCATTACTTCACAAGCACCTTCAAGTTTCAGCTGATGCTGTGGTGTGATAATACCCTGCCAGTCACAGACAACTCAATGGAATACGAGAAATGAAAACCAGTGCTGTGGTAACTTGCTCCACAATACCACGGTGACAAACTTATCAGTCTCTGTGTGAAGCTCCACTATTAAAGTCAAGTATCAATGCAGATGTTGAAGTCACACTGAAACTCTTTTGCTAGCGCATCAATGGAAGCAAGGGAAAGTTTAAAGCTAATGGTATCAAGTCTGCCCAAGCAATCAGTATAGTTTAATGCCTCTTCCTGAGATGCAAGCTTGTGGTCATGATCTGAAAGGAAGAAATGAAGCAGTGTCAGGGCTGCACTGGGGTGGCAGGCATAGGGTCAGGTCTCTTGCATGTCAGGTATCTGCTGGCGCCCTTGTTGCCATGGGTTACAAGTCAGCTCCTCCAGTACCTGCTGAACATTAATGGAGCGGCAAGTGGCCTGCAACTTGTCTGTGTTCCTGGAAATTTGGGGTGGGTTTGTTTGCACATCTGTGTGGCTGAGGTCTTCAGCAGGACAGAGTGTCCTGGACATGCTGGCATGGTGATGCAAGTCCCAGTGAGCACCAGGCGAGTCCCATGCTGTCCTCCTAAGTTCCAGCTTCTCCTACAGGCTGCAGCCCACCCGTGCAGGTTTGAATGCACCCCTACCTTCCCACGCTTCACACCCATCTCCCTTTCTCACTGTTGGCACAGCTAACCAGCTTTAGGAAGCAGTGGCCCCTCCTACTCTGACCTTGAGTGAACCTTCCTCAGCCTTCCTCAGACTTTGGATGCTGCTGAACAGGGCTCCATGGGGAACCTCCACCATTCCCATAGTCCTGTGATAAAGCCATTACAAAGTGACAATGTTGACTCTAATAAGCACACCAATAAGAGAAGTCTCAGCCTAGAAAGAAACCACAAACAGTTCAAGTAGAAAGCTGGAGAGGGCAATACTAAAACACCAATTCTGACCACTGACAGACCACCAAGAACAAAACACCCATACTACGTCTTTCTCCTTCACTTTGCTTATTGGCTGCACTTGGGGCTTTCTGTTTCTGATTTCTTGGTTCCTCTCCTATTTCCCAAACACCAAACATAAAACGATTAATAGTAGTTAACCTCCTACATCAGGCTGAGAGCCTCAAGTTAAACAAGAGGATGCGACGGAGACAATGAAGACAAATCAGTGCTGTCTCTGGGAGGCTCTACAAGGAGAGTTTCGCCACAGCAGAAGCACGATTGCAACATAGCCTCCTGTTCGTTCCTAAGTTCCACTAAGACAGAGGCCAAGTGGTGGAAGCTGCACTGTACTGCCTTGGCCAGGGTAGAGCTACACTGCCCAGAATCCCCTTCGCTGAGAAGTTCTAGGGAACTCTTCTTTCCACATCTACAACTCTAGATGAGTGTCAGATGAGGGCTGGCTGCCTTCCTGACATGGAGCTGCTGCAAGATAACCTCAGGGAAGCAGCAGGGCTGCAGGGCCTGCAGAGCCCATCCTCCCCCAGCTCTGGGAACCTTCAGCCAGGCTGTGTGCAAAAGCACAGCAGCTCCATGACAGTCTCCCCATCTTCCCAACTGTGTGAGAGCCGTGGAACCAGTAATGTGCTAAGAACTCACAGTCCATCTTCACAGACAGTAGTTTGCCTTTGCTTTCCTCACATTCCAGGTCTCTGCTTATTCTTCCTGCCATCCAGCCATCTCAGGCCTACTGTCAGGCACACAGATAACATACAGAGGACTTAACTACTTCCCACAGTCGTGTAAGGGTTAATCACTGCAGAGAATCCCTTTCAACAGACATGGCACTTCTGCTTCTCTGGTCAAATTCTGCCTCTGGGTGTTAGTGCCAACCCACGAAACAAAGTCAGCACCAGCAGGCAACCCTTACACAAAGTCCTGAACGTAAGAAAATTTGGGTATTGAGACATACTCTTTTGATACTGTTTCTAAAGCCAGCCTATACAATACAGGTTACAGGTGAGAGTAATACTCACGCAAATGACTTGGGCAAGTCACAAAGGGGAACAAGGACAAGAGCACAGGGCATGCTGCTGCTACTTTATCTAAGAGCATGTCAAGGTGAGTGGGTCACACCCCTGTGCTCCTAAGCTTGTGGTTCACAAGTGGACATTCTAGCAATGTCCCAAGTTGAAACTAACAAGTGGTTCCCTCCCATCGAACACAAAACAAACCAAAGGCAATTTCAAAGGGCATTTCAAACTCAGATCAACAGATGGGTAGAACAGTAGAGGAAGTAGACTAGCCTCTTAAAGTGGATCTGCTCCATTATTTGGTTAGTTTTAAATCACACTCCATCAGGAGAGTTTAAGTCTGGGTAATAAAGTAAGATGTGGAATCCAGCCATGACCACAGCAAACCTCTGCTCAGCTACACCTGTTAGTCTTTACCCAGAAGTACAGACTTGGGTAAGGACCTAAACCAATTATTACCACTGATCACTAACCTGCGGCCTGTGAGAATGAGTCCTGAGACAAAGACAAAACCTTGAGTGGTTATATGTCCACACTGACACTTAGGCAAATTGTAATGTTGTATGCCAGTTTGTGTGGCAGGTGTGTTCAACACAGAAGACCCTGCTGAGTGTTTTTCTAAAGAGAACTCGGTCTTGTTTCCCAGCTGGAAGGGTAGCATGCAGTAAAGGTCATACCACTACACTAAAGAAAAGACTGGAGAACCATCCTAGTTTAAGTTCCAGCCAGTGGGTCACCTGCCAATCAAACCAAGAGCAAGATCTTACTATCTATCAGAGCGCAGTCTAGTCATGGGAACCCTGCAATAAAGGGAAATAAATACATCAACACACTGACAGCTCATCTGGGGAAGATGGATAATGTAGGGACTGCCTCTGGGAACTTACAACTTACAGAACTACTCAGAGAGCCACACAAAGCTTTAGATTCCAATGTGTTCAATGCCACACTGTTCATATTGTCAACATGGATAGAGAGCAAAAGTTCAAATAAGTAACGTCAGTTTTTAAAAGCCACATTTTGGGCATTGAAAATAGAATAATTAAACTAAATAATTTATTTAGTATCACATCTGTAGTCTATATTCGTTTTCTTTTTTTTTCCCTCAGTCTCCTAGACATCAGTCACAAACATTCTCAGAGCCTTTATGCATAATCAAGGCAATCACTGTGCAAAACAGCTCCAGCTCCTCAAAACATTCAACACTTGATTCGGCAGCTCCAATTCCAGGGACACACTCAGAACAGCTGGAGAGATGGCTCAATGGGTAATGGTTGCTGTGCCTGCCTGATGGCCTGAGTTCTGTCCCTTGAATCCACAGTGGGAAGGGAACGGATTCCAGAATATTGCCCTCCAACCTCTCCACGGATGCTGTGGCACACACACACCCACATTCATACTACACACACACACACACACCCACATTCATACTACACACACACACACACACAATTAAAAGTCACTGCAAAGAGGAACTTAAGACATTTCTATACTGAAGGTCACATCAGAATTATTCCTAGTTGTCAAGTTTGGCAAAATAAAAAATTAATTATTCATCAACAGACAAATGAGCAAACAAAACACGTCCCATACAGACAATACAGCACTGTGGTCCTTAAAGAGGAAAAACACTTTGGCACCCATTACCTTGAAGGTATAACCCACATGAGGTTCCAGAGACACCCCATGGAGGGGGCCAGAGAGAGAAAGGAGAACGGTAACTCTCCAGAGTTGAAGGAAAGGAGGTGTGAGGAGCTTTGTGGACCAACATTCGATCTGGGGTGGTAAGAAGGTTCAGGAGACAGACGACATGAGTAACCTGTTTGCTGACTAATACTGAAAGGGGACATTCTGTTGTGTGCATAAATAAAACAGCCTTTAAAAAGTCATTTCTAGAATCAGAGTTTTTCAAACTTTTGTTAACCAAAGAGCAAATTAAAGTAGAATGCAGAAACACACAAAGAGTAATTCCATCCACTAACCTGAGACAGATGCCATTCTAAAACTGAGCTGGCGCTCCAAACGTCCTTCTACAAGTGAAAGAACAAACACGGCAACATCTTCTGACAGCAGTACTGTGGGGCGTGGCACAGGTCCTGGTCAGGATGCACAAGCATCAGTGATCAGGCAAGGCAGGCACTTTTGGGGGGCAGATTCCTCCACAACACACTTCCAAAATCTGCTTTACTATCAGTTGAAACTGTTGTGCTGCACCCTGGTTATGTGCAGGAATGTATCCTTCCCAACTCTTCTGCCCCCTATGAATACGAACAGGCCTCCCTAACCAGTTTCTAACCTACCCTTTGTTCCTGGAAAGCATCATTTTCAAAATAATCCCCTGCCCTCCCTACCTCGTAGTGGCAATAAATCCTCCAGTCTTTCAAGTCTTAGCTGTGTTTGCTCTGGCTTTGTGTTCACCAACTTGTGAACTCGTGGTGTTCAGCTAAACAGTTTAATCTCCAGCACCACAAAACAAAATGCAAACCAAACCAATACAATGAATAATTCTCAGTCAATGACAATCTGTCACTATTGTGTACAAAAAGAGTTTTAGAAAGCAAATATCATTTTTTCAAAAATCCTATAGAGGCTGGTGCCAAATAGAAGGTCAACAACACTCTCCAAACGTCCTACAGTTGCAAAGTATATAGAAAAAAAAAGCCACATATTAAATATATCTGCCACCAGGTCCATGTGGACCTTAGCAATATGACACACTGTTCCTCTAAGCCTTTCCCTGGGTCATGAGTTCTGAGTTAGCCTGTGTGCACAGCCATGCCTGGTAGGACTTCTTTTACAAATAAGAAGTCGGATAGATTCAAATATCGCAGATAAAGGAAAAAACATAAATAAATCAACCACTTAGCATTTTGCTCAACACTTGTTAGAGAGTTACTGTTAAATTCACCCTTAAGAGAAACTAGTATTCCAAGCAGGTCATTTCAGGACACCCTCTCTGCGACAGGGAGCTTATGCCACTTCTCTGTAAAGTTTGCTCACTTACAGAGACAGAGAGTGGGGGAGCAGCTAGTATATTGGCTTAAAAGAATCTGGAACGGTTAAAAAAAAAAAATGGGCGATAACATAATTAATACTAATTTTAATCGCTAAAACTTAAACCTGAATATGTACTTCCCCAAACTGCTAGGGACAATTTTGCACAGTCCATGACAATCTGTCACCATTACTTAAAAAAACAGGAAGCATGTTATATGTTGCTTAATTTTAGATTTTGCTAAGTCTAAGAGTGCCCTCCAAAGACAAATTCTACACCTGCCTATTCTCACTTGGACTGCTAGCTTTATCCAATCGCACCCTTCCTGTTGCGGCTGTTAAGACAGGTTGAGCCTTGATTAAACAGTATGGAGGCCACACATCACTAACTGCATTTAATTATGAGTGTAAGTCAAGACTCCTCCTTCCTCAGGTGTACACCGGCATCTCCTCACCACTTCCTAGACTCTTCCTTCCTGGTGTGCACACCGGCATCTCCTCACCACTTCCTAGACTCTTCCTTCCTGGTGTGTACACCGGAATTTCCTTAGCACTTCCTAGACTCTTCCTTCCCGGTGTGTACCGGCATTTCCTTAGCACTTCCTAGACTCTTCCTTCCTGGTGTGTACACCGGAATTTCCTTAGCACTTCCTAGACTCTTCCTTCCCGGTGTGTACCGGCATTTCCTTAGCACTTCCGTCCATGGACCGTGAGGCCAGGGCACAGACTGACTCTATTCACTTTTGTGACCCAACAGCCTTAGCAAAATGCCTTTCCCAGGACCTGAAATCGGGAGCTCTCTCTTCGCTTAGGGGAGATACGACCCACGCCCATCTCCTCCCATCATTTAAAAAAAAATCAGATGTCGTTGCCAAAAACCTGTCCCGCAAACTATGTCACTTGGCGACAGCAGACAGCTCAGCACGGAAGACACCGGGAGCTAGTTAAGAGACGAGAAGCCCTGCCTGTCCGTCCAAAGCGGGAGCCGGGCGGCCCGCGGCGGAGGAAAACGCAAGCTGAGCCGGAGCGCGCGTCCCTCCACCCCCCGGTGGGGGGCCAGGGCTCCGGG